AAATGTCTGTTATAATATTCATTTTGCTTTTTTTATACACCCTTCAGAAGCTTTACTGCATTGTTCTTCATGTGAGAAGAGCCAAGCTTCTTGGGCAGTTTGAAAGGCAGCTGACTATTAAATGATAGAAAGCTAACCTGTCTTATTAGAAGTGTGAATGAAAGGGGAGCAGAGGAGGTTACCAGCTGGTGAAATGTCAAGGACAGCTAGACAGAAATTACTGCAAATAGATTTAGATCACTAAAATCCCTATTTTTATTAACTCTTTGAACTCTAGATATTTCTTGTGGTAAGAAATTACCCATGACAGGGAATGTATTCAGAAAGCATTATTTAGAACCATTAATATATTTTGGCAAGAGCAATGAAACCAATAACATTTACTGAATAGTGTCAGTTAATGCAAAATTATAGGTCAGCTGAGTTGCATACAATAACACATGCATTTAAAATGCTTAATTGGTATGTGAATATTTTAAAAATTCCAGACTTTTAAAAGAACATTGACTTTCTGTGTCTTCTTTCTTTGCATTCCCTCATTTTATGCCTACTCCCTCCTTGTAGGGGAGCTGTTTAATGGGTTTGTTTGTTTTGATATTTTCTTTTATGTCTTGATTTGCACTGGCTGACACAATGTGTGTATTGTAAGAAAAAAGTATTTTGAGATTTGTGTTTCATGAACGTTTGTAGCTTGAAACCTAAATTTCTCAAAGTCACGGTAGTTTCAAACCAGCACTTCTTTGCACAGACCTGGCTTTACATTTGCATTTTACCACTAGTGCCACTGAAGGTGCAACAGGAGTTTTTAGAAACCTCTTATCAACTATTTTGTCTGTCAAGCAGAAAGCAGATTGGGAGACAAAGGTCCTCTGTGTCCTATCCCTTGACGTAAATACTATTTCTGAGATACATTTTTCCCCTGCTAATTTTTGAGTCTCCTCGTTCCTATCTACAGGGAGAATTTAACAATGACACTTCTAAAGTATGAAGCTGGTGGTTTGTAAAAAGCTGTGTTGCCTGACAAATTACACTCTCCTCTGAAATGAATGAAAAATAGCAGATGCTGTCAGAAAAGTATGCAATCTCCATCTCCAGTGTAAAGACTACAAAAGCTGACAAAAACATTTACTTTGGCTTCTGTGTGATGAACATGTGACAAAATATGATATGGCCAAAGTATATAAAGAAGTAATTAAGTTATAGACTGTTTAGCAATAATTATGCTAGCTGATTTGGGAAAGTTAGAGGGATATTTTGCATTTCTGTACCAAAAACAGTGGAGCAATGCATCATTGTCCTTAATTTAGACTTTTAGGAGCTTGAAGGCTGTAAATCTGGTAAATAATGCTTTTCAAACATGTAATAAACAATGCAAAGATAAAACAGTGGGTTTTTTTCTCTCTATTTGGGATGGATTGATAGCTAGGATAAGGGAAAATGGACTCAGATTGTATAATGAAGGATTCAGACCAATTGTTAGGTAAACCTTCACCAGATGAAGAACACTGAGACCAGTTGATAGAAGAATTATGGAATTGCTCTCACTCAGATCTGAGACAAAGAGGGCAGGATATCTGTCATAGCTGAACCTCATCTGGAATGGAGGAATGGACACAGTCACCTCTCTAAATATCACCCTGAAACACCTATTTATTTGAGGTATCTGCTCCCTGTCCGTGACAGAAAAAGCAACAAAAGAGTGGCTGTCTCTAGTCATAATCTTTATTAGAATATCAACTGGCACATACCTGTTTGTAAAACAAAGAAAATCCAAACTCTGGCTGAGAAAAATGTCAATAGGTTTTGAAAATAACTCTAGCCCTCGCTAGTGTTATCTCTTCCTGCATTCTTTTGTGCATTTTTGCAGCTTTCAGTGGCTTCTTAGTTAGCACGATTCTCTCTGGGCCCCAGTTGTCATCTTGTAGTCTCCTCTGAGGTTCACTCCTGTCTGTTCCTTCCTTTTCCCAGAAACCTCCTGGGCTCCATCCTTGCTGCCTCACTGTCCTTGCTAATCCTTCCTCTCTCTGCCTCTCCCAGTTTATACTTCTCTTAGCGAAACATGCTCATGGACCCTGGGGAAGAGAATATTTGCCCTTCTATCCCCAGCCACTGCCTGCCATTGGCATGAGATAGAGGAGACAGCTTCTTCAATTTCTCACAGCAGAATAAACAGTGTACACATAAAAACAAAATTTTTATCATGCATCTCTTTCTTGGCTGTATTTCTTTGCTTCTAAGTAGCTAAATACATGAATTTTAAGTTCATGCATACAGGGTGCCACAGGCTTTCATACTGGGCCTGTGTTTTAGTACATATTAATTCATCCTCTAGAAATGAGAAGGGGATATATTTATCTGAGCTATTTTTAAGTGCAGTGGTTTCTTAGTCTAGTAAATAGTGGAAACAGCAAAATTACAAGAGGAATATCAAAAGCTATGAAAGAAAATTGAATGGTTAATACAAAGTATGGGAAATATGTAAGTATCTGGGAAAGGTCACATGAGACATGGATCACATTTCAAGAAAAGGTTCGATTCATGCTAAATTGCACTCAAATAAGCAACATAATTGTAGGCTGCACTAAAAAAAACATTGAAGATAATTCTGAGACTGTAATACAGTGGGTTAGTTAATTTTTTTTAAATACTATGTTTAGTGTTTTTACTTTGAGTGAAAAAATCCTTAAACGACCTACCAGGAGATGCGTAATTGAAATGATTAGGGTTCTAGGGAGAGTGTTATTTGAAGAGGATTTAGAAGTCTGGCACTGGTTAATTTCCAGAGCACAGGAATAAGACAGTTCAAACTAAACATACACAACACAATAAATCTTATAAAGAAAGTTAATCACATACTTCTGTTTATTCTATTTCTATTTATGTTTTCTGCTGTACCAGACAAGGGAACATTAAATTACCCTGAAAGCAAAGAGCAACAAAGATAAACTTAGTAAATAGAAATACCATTAAAAATACTCAGTGACTTAAATCCCTTTTTTTCTAGATACCCCAACAACCAAAAGGTTAGTAGAATTCAGTTAAACACTAGATGCGTCTCTGGGTAGCACAAATCTTTCAGGTATGTTAGATGTAAAAGTCCACAGTTACATGCTATGACATTTAAAACTGAAAAAGGGAATTTAACAAATAACATTTCTTTAATGGAATCATATGACACTGTTGCTGTGACATTGCAGGTTAGTATGCCACTGCATTGAGTAAAAATTGATAGTAATCAAAACTAGTGGTATGTGCTTCAAGGCTTTTATAGAAAGTAGAAACAAACTTTGCTAACTTTTTCCTTAATGAATTCTGTTTCGCTTGAATATTTGCTTTAAGATTAATTTTGACTATTTGATATTTCTGAGGTTCTTATGAATCTTTCCTTTTTTTAAGGCAATGCTCTTAGTTTGTCAGTGATTTGTGTGGTAACATATGTTGGGTTATGAGTTCTGAGTTAATGATTTGTTGAAGCCCTGAAAGATTTCTGTATAGTTTTCTCCAGCTGTGAGGATCATTCATTCTTCTTTGGGCTCCATTAGAGAAAACCAAAAGACTTTCTCTGGAACCTGAGATTTAGTGAATCATGTTTTGGGGGAAGGGGATAAGTTTTCTTTTAGAAATACTCTGGATAAATTAGAGGTGTGTATAATAAAACTTAAGTATTAAATTAGTCTTTTTTCTTTTAACATTATGGGATATTCAGGATTTCTCTTTCATTAGCTTTTTTTTTTTTTTTCTCTAGCTGCTGTTTTATGATGTACTACATCTAATAATTTAATTATTTTTTTCTGCTTGGAATTGCAGCTTGCTTCATAATGAGTTATTCAGGTTCAGGCATGTCTCAGTTGGTTAATGTTTTATACCAGTTAGATACTGATTGGATTAGCATTTTAGTGTAACCTATATTAGTATACTATGATGTAAAGAAGTAATTAAATTGCCTTCCTAAACATACTTAAAATTGTAGAAAATACACTTTCTTTTTTTTTTCTACTTAATAAATTTGAAAGGATGCTTTAACTGCTCTATTCTCTATGGAGTTGGAGATCAGATTTAATTAGATAAGTTTGTGTCTGCTGTGGGGTATGTTTTTGCTTTGCACGTCTGCAGCCTTTGAAAGGACCACAAAGAGACTCAGATTTCAGGTGCTGTGTCATCAATTTTGATCGATTTACACAACTGAATGCCATAATGCTTTTAACAATGTTATTTGGTGAATTTAATCCATATCTGGGTATTAGAGAAGAGAAAGCAGGCCTTAAAGCGTTTTTGTTTCTATTGCAGTTCAATACTTAATGCTAAAATAACAGAAACAAAGAGCAATATTCATTATATCAAAATGAATTCCTGTTTAGCTGTCCTGGGAAATAGGAAAAACTTCACACCCTAAGTTACCTATAATTATTATATGTTGCAGTTACTGATCTTTCACATTTTAAGTATGATGTATATCTGTTTGAAAGACACTTGTTGTACTGATATTTTTCACTCTGTGTTTTCTTGAATTTTTCTTACAGTAGAAAAAGATAATTCACCATGTATTATTTTTCATTATATTGGTAATCAACTTAGCACCTTTGCTTCTGCAATTAAAGAATGAAAGAAAGATCACGATACTGTTATATCTGCAAATTTTCCCCTTTTACATATTTTTGTTAAATAGTAATTAAGAAATCAAATATATTTTCATATTGAAGGCTCAGCATAAATTTTCTTGTACCTCTTATTCTGGTCTCCTTTATTCATATGCACTGCCTTGTCTAAATTTGTGCTTTTCATAAAAACAGATATGGGAAAAACAAAGTTTTTCATCATGCAGAATACATTTGATTTTAAGTCAAAGAAAGTGGGTCATAAAATTTCTTAAAAAAAGTGCACAGAAACATAAACAAGACCAGGAATGCTTTAATATGTAGTACAAGAGAGCCTGATCTTGGGAGCACCATTTGGCATCTCTGTTAAATGTGATGTCTTATTGTGTGTTTTCTCCCTCCTAGGAGTTAATTCCAGAATTTTACTACCTACCCGAGATGTTTGTCAACAGTAATGGATACAATCTAGGAATCAGGGAAGATGAAATTGTTGTGAATGACGTTGATCTCCCTCCATGGGCCAAGAAGCCTGAAGACTTCGTCCGCATCAACAGGATGGTAAGCTGTACTTCAATTTAGTCTAAGGGGTTCCACATTTTAGCAAGCTAACCTAATTCTGTTTTTCATCTCTTTAGAAATAGATTTAGAGAAATAAAATAAAAAAAGTGAAGGAGAATTTGCATTCTGTTTGCTTGACAGAACCCTTTATTTTATAGTAGATTTTCCTTCCATGTGCCCAAATTATGGAAACTTAAATTCAGTTATTTACTCTCTCATGAAAAAGCATCAGACGTGCATGAGCCTGGCAGTACAAGACAGCCTGAAAAATTTATATCTGTTCCTCCACACCATCTTCTGCATCAAAAAATAAAAGAATACTGTAAATGCTGATATCTTGCAAGCCATCTTGTAGTTGTTATTCACTTGAAGGTATGCACTTCCCGTTCATCAGAGATGAACTGGAAGTGTAGAAATGTGAACATAAGCAAACAACTGCAGTCTTTGAAGAAATTCTGCAAAAGAACTTCTCTGATGTAAATCATCATGGGACCTTCAGAATTTAAGCAGAAAGAACATTTCTGATGTAAGATTTTCTTTTTAAATTTTGATAGACAATTATTTTATAATAGAAAAAAATAATACATGTGTATGCTTTTAGTAATGTTTAGGAACAGCAAGGTATATTCAGATGCTTTGGCCAGCAATACTTCAATTTATGGTTTTGTTGTGGAAGTAGTTCTTTCTTAAAATGTATATTGCTTGTCTTTCAGGACTGTGGTTGCAGTAAGATGTGGGTTTCCATACAGTTGCTGAACTGTTCAGTTTATGCATTATTCCCAATAGTGCTTTTGTGGTAGCATTGCAAATCTAGCTGTGTTGATTTGTTGGGGCTTTTTTTCTGATCAGTTTGGTAATTTAATTTTAAGAACTGTCTATTTAAAGAAAATTGTTCTTCAGTAGTTGATAGGAAAAAAATAGTTCTATGAAGTTCAAGAGAATAGAATATTCTAAAAACAAACCTATTCCTAGATGTAGATGATTTAGAAGTGTTCTCCATTTAGAGTAAGTGGTTTGACATATGTACAACAGTCTCTTAAGGAAGTGATGGCAACCTCATCACTTGAGACATATGAAATGCACTACACAACCAGGAGAAATGTATTCTGTCATTGATAGATTAGTCTGTCATTGACAGGAAGAGGCTGAACAACATTTCTTGACTGTTTTCTCTTATACCGCGTGTACTGGAAAATTCTTTTTAAAAACTAGTATTTGCCACAGCTGACGAAAAGAAGTTCAAGTGCAATTTTGCTAGAAAAGAAGGAGGTGTACTGAAAGGATCACTGGAGTACATTAGAATTCTCAAGTGTGGGATGTGCAGTCACAGGTCGGTGTCTCTGGAGTGCCTCTGTTGCTGCACAGAGCCCTTTTTTGAGTTGTGGTTGTGGCTAAACCCAAACTGAGCCCAGGTGTAAGCGCACTAAAGTCAACCTAGAGGTTTAGTTTTGACATCTGAAAGAACAAAAGTGTGAAAATGGAGAAGGAAGCTGCCACGTATTAGGGAATATAATGAGAGATGCCTATTAAGGACTTCCATTATTAAATTTTGTAAAGAATCTTCCTTTTATCTTAAATTGCATTTTATTAATCTTATCTTCCACAATGTTGGAATTATTACTAGGAGGATAAAAGGCACTATAAGAGTGCATAAGAGATAAGATAGAGCGCATAGAGATAAGAGATCATTTGAAAAAATCTTAAGCTTTAGTTTATTTTGTTTTCCTTGTGCAATTCCTGCTTTTCGAAAGTAGTGTAGCAACTCTCCTCTGCTAAAAGTTTTGTGCTGTTGAAGAAAACAGCTGCTTACAAGAATTTAGAATATAGCATTTAGGCTTCCTTAGGGCTGCAGGACTTGATAGTGAGGTAATGACTGATTCCACATGTGTGTAAGTATGCTCAGACTGCCAGGAGACAGACAAACTAATGTTAAGACTAGAGAAAAATCATAATTAAAGTACATAATTGAGTACTTCTCAGATTCTAAAATCATGAATTGTCACCCATTTGTATCAGACACTCCCTCTACTGTTTTCCAGCCCTTTCCTCACAGATGTGAGCATTATGCCATTTTTGTACAGTTTTGCCAGGAGGCAGTTTCTGCATGGCCTTTATTCACCCCATCATCTACTTTCAGCAAGAGCATGATCAGTAGCTAAAATTCGTCTCTATATAGATACATGCTATCTTCAAATGAGCAGTCAGGAAGCTTGCAAATGATAATGAAGTTAGGAACTGCCTACAAAACAGGAGAAAGAGCCATAGATTTATTTATTAAATGCAGAAAATAGACTGAAAATCACCTTGAGTGGAAAGAATTGAAGATAATAAGAGGCAGAAGTCTGGGGAAAAAAAACAGTACCAAAAATAGAGCAGTAGCAAGGTAGGGGTGACAATGAACAGCAATTAGATTAGATAAAACTCTGTAATTCTATATCCACCAGAAGTAAATGTATTTTGATGCCATCTATAGAGACTAATTACATTATGGAGGATGTAAAAAGTTGTACCTATCTATAGTCCTTTCGAGACTGCACCTGGAATATTGGATTCACTTCTGGGTGACTGGAAAACAGAAGCATTCACATTTGGATGGAGTTCAGAGGATAAATGTAAAGTGAATAACTTTGGGAGTTTAAAGAGCATGATATATGCATAGTATTTTACAAAGCTCATTATGAAGAGCAAGTAGCTAAAGAAGGATAATCCTTTTCATGAAAATGCAGATAGTATGTGTAGCAAGAAGTAATGGAATTACATTTTGAAAATATAATAATTTGAATGTGTAATAATTTTTCAGAAAAACTTCCTCATGTGAGGTTTTATTAACACATACAACAAACTGCCAGTACCCTGTCTTTTTGGTCACCAAAATGAAACTGTTCTAAGGAACAAATACAAAGGGATTGGAAAGTTTGACATTCCCTACCTAATGTCTGATTCCATTATTTGAACCGGCCAGCAGATGTATTATTCAGTTAGGTCATCCTCAGGCCAGGCTTTGGCTGTTATACAAGAATCTATCTTGTGGAAAAAAAATAGCCTGGGTGTGATGCTAACGTGTAAAACACAGCCAGCTTGTGCAAGCCTGGAATTTCTACAGCAACTTAGCAAAGCAAATAGAGAATGTGTTTATAGAAAACGAAGGAATATTTCAAGTAATGGTTATCCTGATCCCTTATCTAATAAAATCAGCAGTAGTAATTTCATTTCAGTGGGGAGAACCTTATTTGCTAGTGCATAAAATACAATGGGATCTTTTTTTCCCTAGCTGATGCTGTTTTCTTATGTTAAGTTTTTTTTTTTCTTTTGGTGCTTTCTGCAGGCATATATTATGTGTAATTTTATGTGGGAGTAAATACAAATCCTTATATACTACTTGCACATTTATGAATGTATGCATTTTCTTTAATTAACAGCAAGAATATCTTCATTTCATCCTGATACTTAGAAAGAAAACACAGAACAGCCTAGGAAACATCACAGAGGCACAGTGTCATAAATCAGCACAATTTAACCAACTGGTTAACAAGCTTTACTAAAATTCTGTGCAAATGAATAAATAGCAGGCAGGGGTTTTATGTTGTATAATTTGATTGTATAGTATAATTTGGTTGCTTTACACTTCAAACTAAACAGAAGTAGAAGTAGAAATGTTTTTTCATCCAAAGAGATTCCTTTAAACTTGTGAAAATTAGACTTATTGTAAAGACTGGAAAAGACAGTCAAGTTACTTTTAAGACCTATCTTCAACATTTGATATATACATCAGGGATTGTTGTAGCAGTTTTATTTATCCATACAAAGCTAGACTGATTACTGTGGAGTTACTCATGAAACATTAATAAAGCACTATGTTCAATGCTAACATGATTATGGTCTGACCTCAGCAACGGTACAAAGGACAGAGGCAGAAAGTGTCCCTGATAACATTACCCTAATGCTGGGCTCATCAATCATAATCTCCCAGTTTACCAGGGGAAAAAAAAAAAAAATCCACGCATAAAACCTTCCACAGATGTGCATCTGTAGTCCTGCTCAGCTTCTCAGTCCCCACAGACTCAGAGCAGTCCAGGAGCCAGAAATAGAACAGACTCAGTCAGTAAGTCAAGCATGTTAAATCAAGGCAGGGAACACCACTGTGAAACACTGAAGCACAGCTTTTATAATAAGCATTCTTTAGTTTTGAAACAAAAGATGCAAGATTGTGTAATTCAAAGTTAATTATAATGATATTTTAATTATGGCTTATGCACATATTAAATTACAAATTGCAGTGCTGAGTAAAATGTATTCACTATAAATTATATTTTTGAGAGACTAAACAATGTCTTGTTTTTGTTACACATATTTTGTTCCTATTACATAACTGTTACTGAGATTGAATTTTCTTTCTGTCTCTGAAATGATTTATTTGCACTCCTCTGCTGCCAACTGCATTTTTATACCATTCCCTGGCTATTCAGAAGCATGCATAAAATTTCATAATTAAAAAACTTCTTGAATAGTCATTAGAAATATCTAGTATGAAATCTCTGTGCTATGAGAATATGGACGATCTTTTCCTCCCAGATCTTTTCCTCCTCACCATTCAGCAGCAGACGATGTTTCTTTTCCACCAGATAAGCAGTAGATAAGACTTGATATAACTTCCTCAAAAGTAGCTTTGATTGTATTTTTTGTATTGCCAAGGTTATGCAATTAAAACTTACACAGCCAAAAGAGGTTTCAATACTCTTCAGATTTTTCAATGACTTTCAGCAGTGATTTTTTTTTCTAACTTCCTAAACTGCTGAAGAATCTTATTTATATCATGAAGATGCTTATATAAAGGGTCAGTTTCTGTTTCTCATCCTGAATAACCCAAATCTATATAACGTACTTCTGTGTCTCTTCTATCAAAATATTATTTTGCTTAAAAGAACATAACTAAGGTGAGATAGCAGTATTTCCTGAAATACTTCATAAGAAAAGTCAAAGATTTCACTTTGATAGTCAGT